GACTAGTGAGCCCAAGACAGAATGGAGGGCTGGGAGGTGTAGTTCTGTAGAGCACTTTTACAAAGCCCCTGGGTTGAATTCCCAACACCAGAGCAAGGGGAAAAAAGGGAGAGAGAGGGGAGAGAAAAAAAGAGAGAGAGGACAAAGGAAACAGAATATGTAAAGTGAGGACTCAGAGACCAGGTATAGACCACCCTTTTCTAGGGTTCTCTTGCAAAGGGGAACAAAGAAATAGGGCAGTACCTATCAAGAAAAGTAGGAGTGAAGGTTTAAGATAGGAAAAGTAGCTGGTAGAGTGGCTCAAAGCAACAAAGCACCAGCCTAGCAAGCATGAAGCCCTGAGTTCAAACCCCAGTACCAACAAAAAAATAGGAGAGAGAGAGGCTGGAGGTGGGGCTCAGGCTCAGTGGTAGAATGCATGCCTACCAAGGGCCAAGTGCCAGGCCCTGTGTTCGATCCACAGCACCATCCAAAAAAAAGGTGAGAATTGTAGCATATTTGTGCATTGCATTCTATGCCTAGGAAAGCCCTAAACAGTCCAAAACCCAAGTGTTTATTCCTTATCTCGCTTTCATCTGACACCTACTCTTTTGTATTATCTTTACTGATCTGTATCTGCTTTTTGAAACCAAGGGTAAACAACTTTTATTTGGAAGGCCCTTTTCTTCCTTGTCCAACTGTCAAAGTCATCCTTATCCTTCAAGTCTCAAGTATGCCCTCCCGGGAAGCCTTTCCTGACCCTTCTCCTCAACCCAGCTCCCTCAGTCTATACCAACAAATTCTTCCCACCAATGTATCTTTGCAGCAACGTGTTTTTGTATGATGCAGTCTCTTGTATTTATCAGAAGGGTGACAGTTCTGAGCACCCATTTTGTTTGTTTTATACTGCTAGAGATGAAACCCAGGGCCTCCTGCACTGAGCTGTACCCCCAACCCCACAGCACTGACTCTTGAGCCAGACTGCCTGGATTTGAATCCCAGTTCCACCATGTGGTTGCCATGTGACCCTGGGAAGATGCCTTACCTCTCAGTCCCTTGAATGTCAATCTGTAAAATGGGAAATAAAAATGCCTACCTCCTGGCACTGTCAGGAAGAATAAGCGGGTGGCTGTGTGTAAAATACACTGAGTTCTCTATGTATTAACCATGCCATGTTACATTGTAGCCTAGCTCCTGAGATTTTAAGCTTGAAAACAGGACTTCAGTAATTATCTCATGACTAAGTAAACTGAGACACTAAAAAGCTTTGGCTTAATGTAGAGGCTTATTTCCCTATACCACATTAGTAGGGTTTTTTGCTTACCAGGTAATTTCATCATTTGAAATATATCATGTACTTTTTCAAAAGGTGTTAATTTTTTTTTTTTTTTTTTGGTTTTTAGTTTTGTCTTATTTTGTTTTGGGTTTTGAGACAAAGTCTCACTATGAAGTCCAGACTGGCCTGAAACTAGTGATCCTCCTACGACAGCCTGCCAAGTGCTGGATTATAGCTTGGTGCCAAAACGCCCGGGTAAAGTCTCTCCAGACTATCTCTAAGGATATGACCAAAATACAGAACCTCTGAACTGCTGAACCTGAACGTGAACCCTTCCTATCATCTCCTCATGCCAAATTGCTTCTTCATGCCTCTTCAGACCTTCCACAGAACGGTGTACAATGTAACTCTGCAGACACATAAGTTGACATATATCATGTAAGTGGGCAAATTTAAAATGTGATTTTGTCTCCATTACAAAGGGACCACTGACAGTAAGTAACATTAAAAAAAATAAGAAGCCTTTGTAACTGATGCATGTTTTAAACAACTGAAAAAGAAATGCTAATTCAAATAAAAGCTCAATTTTATAAAAAATTTTCCATTTGCAGTAGCAGCTCATTTACTACTGAGAACTCTTCAGAGAAGTAGTAGGATGCTCTTAACAGGCTATGCCACTCCAGAACGGTAGGAATTCAAGCAATCATTTGAAATGGAATACAGCTAGCTGCTTTGTAATTCTGTCCTGCAATCACAAATCTTTAACTGGTGGTGAATGTGCAGGTTAAGATCTCTCTTCCCAGAGGGGCAGTTTAAAGAAAATTCCCATGCTCCTATGGCCTGCTATCTATCTCAGACCAAACAGCGGGGATGACATTGCAATCATCTTTCCCGTGAGGTGACGCAAGTACAGCAAAAAGCGCAGGCTTTGCTGTAGAGCACATGGTCCAAATGGCAGATCCAACACCTTAAGCAGGTATCCTCCAGCAGGTCTGTTAACCTCGTACCCACCGCTTAGTAATAGCAATCATGTAACCTGGCAGAGGTGGTGTGGGTAACTGATACTGAATGAAAAAGCAATAAATGCAAGATAGACAGCTTATCAGAGATGCTTAATAAATATTAGAGTTTTTGTTTTGTTTCTTTGGTTTTTAGTTTTTTTGGTTTTTTTGAGACAGGATCATGCCATGAAGCCCAGGGTGGCCTTGAACTCAGGATCTTCCTGCCTCTGCCTCTCAAGTGCTGGGATTACAGTTGTGTATCACCATGCCTGATGAAATGGCAGTTTTTACCATGTTACATCATTTTCAAGTCTTACTAGAGTTTAAAAAGAAGAAACTAAAAAGGCTCAAACTTAGGCTAACTAAATACTCTTAAAAGTCAAGTCAGTAAGAAGAAAGTCAGTAAGAAATGGGGAGGAAAAAAGTTCTTGGAATGAACAAAGAACTGTGATTCCAGGGAAAAGACAATCCTCCTGTAAGACACAAACCAGGCACTGACTTCCTGACCTTTAGGAGACAAAGCCCGCCCCACCCAAACCCTTAACCCTGGAACAACTACAGGTGAACCAGTAAGCACCAAACACAGAAAAGGATGTAATTAGGTGATCCTGGACACCTCACATCCACTGTGGCCACTCCCTTTGTGTTTAAATAGCTTAGGACTAAGTTACAAAACCCTTGACTTGCAACTTACCTCCAGAAAATGTGTCCACGGAGGTCATGAAGTAAGTGACAGCTTCACATTAATTACTCAAAGGTGGGTATTCCCATAATGCTCTACTGACTCCCAATTAAAGGAAACCTGAGCACAAGGGGGCTTTGCTGGCTCTACGGAGAACAAACAAAATTCTGTCGAAGAAATGTTCTATGTTCCCTAAAGGGAAATCCTTGTCTGTCTTCTCACCTGTACATTCTCTAGGGCGTGGCATCTAGTGGCTCCTTAAAATTTACTGACAAATTTGCACACTCAGATTCCCAGCTGCATTATTCACAACAGCCAAAAGATGGGAGCAACACAGGTATCCCTGACGGATGAATGCACACACAAAATGTGGCACATGCCCACAATGGAATTCAGCTAAAAGGCAAGGAAATGCTGACACCACCCCCACCCCATGGATGAGTCCTGAAGATACGCTGATGTGAAATAAGTCAGTCACAACAGGACACATACTGTATGAATCCCCTTATGAGGTGCCTAAACTAGTTTGACTGACAGAAACAAAGTAAAATGGTGGACACAGGGGCTGGGGGAGAGAGACTGCTGACAGAGGGGAACAGGAGGTTAGTATTTAAGGATACAGAGTTTCAGTTTAGGGAGCTACAAAAACTTCCAAAGAAAGATGGCCATGAGAGTTGCACTTAATGTCACTGAACTGTAAGTTAAAAACTGTAAGTTAGATGTGATGTCTATTTTCCCACAATTAAACAAAAATTTGACAAATCACTGAAAGAATGAAGGAATCACTAAATATTACCTTTGAATTATTCTTGAGAAGTCCTATCTCTACATCATAGAGAAACGAAGTTGGAACTCAGAATTCAACTGATCTGTGCACGTAAAGACACACTATATACGGTATACACAGTAGAAATTATGCCATGCTGCTGAGCGTTAGTGGTGTGTTTCACCCAGCTGACTATATGCCCCACAGGGATCAGGTCAATACCTCGGATCCTCTTTCTATACCTGGAACCTAAGACACCATCCACAGACTCCTTGAAAACTGGACAATCCCACTGGCCTGAACATCTGCATTACAGCTGTGACTGGGTCCCTTTCTCTACTACACCACTAATATGACAGGGGTAAAACAAGTGGCCTTAAGAACAATGCCATCCCTGGAGATGCTCAAATCCAGGCTGGGCAATCACCCACTCACTGTGGGTTTGCCACATGCCAGAGCTGAGCAGAAAAGAATCAGACCATTTCAGGCTAAAGCGATGGACACATAAGACACAGAAACTGTCACAATGGCAAGGGACCAATGCTCTACAAAGCGATGTTACCACAAATCTCAGGGAGGACTGAGAGTGTGGGTCTGGAAAATGACGCTCCCTCCTCCAGAAGAGCCTGAAAGGATAGACAGTTTTCCAGTGTTACAGACCAGAGTGTAGAGCAGAAAGAACAGCAGCCTGGGTGTCCAAAGAATCCCACCACTGACTCTGCCTTCACCTATGTAAGTGGCCTCTAAAGTCCGGCTCTCAGTTTCCCCACATGTAAACCTACAGCTGGAAAAGATGCTCTCCAAGAATCCTGAGCTCCAAAGACTTAGGAGCTCAGACTGTCTAGGTTCAAATCTTGCCACTGTCCCTAGAAGAGTCGCTTGACCTTCATCGGAGTGTTTAACTGCTCTATGCCTCAATTTCCCACTTCCGACCGGAGGATTATTGTAATAATACACGTCAATCATTTAACACAGGGCCTTGCCCACAAGAAATAAATAGTCATGATTACCCTAACAAGCTGCATTGTGAGAAGCAAATGCCAGATGCAAGGATTGTGGCCGCAGCACTTCCAAAGCCGTCCCAGTCCTGAGCCATCCCTGGAGGGGGGGGGGGGGGGGAGGAAGAGGGGGATGGGAACGCACAGCCAGCCTGCACACCCTGCACGCATGTGTCACCGGCCAGGCTCGGCGCGCGCCTCTCCCCCGCCCCAGGGACAGCAGCGATGGCTCAGCAGCCCCGAGGCCCACCCCTCGGGCCGGGTCTCCGGAAAGGAAAGGGGCGCCGGCCCCACTTACCATGCTGGCCGGGGAGGGGGCGGCTCAGGTGAGCTGGGTCTTGGGCTTCGCACGCGTCCCGCTCGCACAGTTCAGGTCATGGTCCCGGCAGGCTCGGGAAGTCCCCCGCCCATGCAAAGAAAACCCCTTCCCCACCCGGGCCCGCGGGGACCCTCTAAAAAGAGCACGGCCTCCCGGTCCGCCTCATCGGGGACCCCCGGGACAATTCATCCAGCCCCACTGCACCTTCCCAAGGAAACTAAAAAAGCAGGAAATGGGGCTCGGAGGCGGGCGAGGAAAGCAGAGGCTCCGGGCCCCCGCCCGGGCCCGACCCCCGAGGGGGAGGCTGCGGGCCCAGGCAGGGGCTCCCCGGCCACGGAAGACAGAGACGGCGGCGGGCCCGGCCCCGAGGCTAAAGGGGTGGAGGCTGGAGGGGCCTTGGCGGCGCGGCGCTACCCGGGCGGCCGGCTCAGGAGAGAAGCCCGCAGGCCCGCGCTGTCCTCACCACCTCAGCCCACTCGGCTGCCGCCGCCACCCCCCAGAGCATCCCTGCGCGCGGCCGCCCCGGAGCCACCCGCTCGCGCCGCGCTGCCGCCCTCAACCAACAGCCCCAACGCGCCGGAAGTGGCGAGCGCCGGGCGGCCCCCACAGCACAGCCGCCTGGGCTGCGGCGCTGGAACCGGACCAATCCGGAATCGAGGAGGGGAGGCAAAAGGGCGGAGCCTCACCTGAGGGCTCCCGTTGGCTCCGCCTCCATCTGGCTCCGCCCCTTGTGTCCTCCGTCAGTGCGTCGGCGCGCAGCCATCTTGGTAAAGGAAGTGGAGGCTGCCATCTTAGTAAAGGAGTGGTTTTTCTTTCACTTCCCTCACTCATTCATTCCACAAATCTTTATGGACCGCCTTCCAGGTGGCGGGCACTAAGCTAGAAGTTTGCGGCGCAGGTGCTCTGCCCTCGTGGAGCTTTCGTACAGTCATTCCGCACTCACTTTAGCCCTGCCATGGCCCCGGGCACTGCTGTGGATGCTGGAACCAGAAAATGCAAAGGATGAAATTACAATTTAATTTAATATCTTAATTGACTTTATTTCCAATTCTAGAATCAGGCAACACTTCATTTAATAAAACCGAGTAAGTGTTCCAATGAGCCGAGCAGCAAACAGTCTTTTTAAATTACCATTAAAGACCATATCCTTTCAATTTTTATTAGTTTGTAAAACAAACTTTTTTTTTTGGTGGTGACTGTGGATTTTGAAGCTCAGGACTGTTCGTGCTTGCCAAAAGCAGTGACGCATTCTTACACTTGGGAGTCATACCTCCAGTCCAGTTGTTGTGGCGCTGGTGTTTATTGTTGAGATTAGGTGGTGCCTCTGGAACTGATTTGCTGGGCCGGCCTTCGACTTTGATCCTCCTTGATCTCGGTAGGCCGTGTCCAAGGAGTAGAGCTTAGGTGCGTTGAGACGTAGTGTGAGCCGATCTCGAGTGGTGGTGGTGCCTCTGAGCATAATCGACTATTAGTAGGAGCGAGATGTGGTTTGAATAATTCCATTGGAAGAATTCTGAGTGTTTTGACGGTTGTGGTGTGTCTAAACTTCTGGTTTGTCTTATAAATATAGTGTAACTTTTTCCGTGCAATTACATTTTTTTAGGATTTGATTGGGTTGGGGTTAAGGTTGTGTGTATGTTGGGTTGAATTAGTCTTATTCTTGTAGCTTGCGGTACCGTTAAAGTCTTTCTGATTATGAAGTTATTAAATATTTGGTGCTTTGGCGTTTTGTCAGATCCTTGTGTTTTTTGCCGAAAAAGTCTATCCACGTTATTCTCTCTGTCTGTCCGTTGTCGTTGTCAGGGACCAACATATTGATGATCTTTTCCCGCTAACATGGACCCGTCAAATTTTTGGTAGAAAGATATCTCACTTTTGTTTATTTGTTGTATGCTCTCATAGGTTTTGGTCTTTGATACATAAGGATGAAGTGGGGCTGTGGTAGAAGGCAGATTAACAGAATCGCAGTGTATAGCATAGTTGGTGGATTTGTTTCCAGCGTGGAGGTGTACGATCGTTGTGAAGGTCTGCTGTGGTCTAGTGGATAAAGTACAGAACATAGATAGAAATAGACTGGGTCTAGATCCATTTCAAGTGCACTTGTTTGTGTGATGTGGAGGGATATGGGGGTGCTCGAAGATTGTTAGGTAATGTTGCCATTTATTCATTGATGCCTGAGTTGAAGATGTAGCTGTGGCGCTGTGTTTCGAGTGATAGTTTGGTGGCTTTTTAATCTTTTGTTCTTGTCGTAGATTGTGTCGCTGTGATTGTCTCTAGTATAGAGATTAAACTAGCTTTGTATGTGGTTGCAGGTTTTGTAGTGTGTGGGTGTTGCTTTGCTTTGTAGGCATGCAGTTGATTCTTCCTAGTTTTTGGTATTTTTAGTTTGTCGGTTTCTGGTTTATTTCTTGCAGGTATGTGGGCTATATGAAAGGTTGAATGTACATTGTAAATGAGATAAGAGTGAAGGGCTTAGTTGCGTGAATAAATGACTGATAATAACTCGATAGTAAAGTGAGTGGATGGTGATGGGAGTTAGGAGTAGTGTGAAAGTGTGTCAGCGAGGCGTTGAAGGGTGTAAGAAGGCAGGTGTGGGGTAAGGCCGTAGGAGTCGGACTCGACTTAAGGAGCAAGTGCGAGAGGGGTTCGTGGAGAAAGGCGATGAGAGAGATGTAGTGTGGGTGCGGCGTTCCTACCGCTCTCATACCTCACGTGCATTGTGGTGATGTCGAGGTGCTTGTGTGCGTTGTTAAGAAATCGTGTTTCAGGCTGGGAGTCTCACCAGTTTGGTTGTTCATGCTCCTGTGTGTAATGCTCTGAGCTACTGCCAGGGTAGGACAGAGAAGCTCTCAAACTTCCTTGTTGAGCTGGTCAGTTGTGAATCAGTCTCCAAGAGGAGTGGACAAACCAGGTGAGTGCTCTGCCCCAACTCTCAATTCAGTAAGGCCTTAATAATTGGGGTGTTGTGGGCGGTTTTAACAAGTGTTCCTAGGTGATGGGCCTGGTATGTGCTGTTTCCGGATCACGCAGTTGGAGAAGCCATGCTATCTGAACTGTCATTGGTCAAAAGATCGATAGAGTGTTTCAGTTACTCTATATTATTCTCAGTTTAGGTACCTTGCATGGTGTTGCTTTTTTGACTTATAGATGTTTGAGAGTAGAATCATGGCAACACCGTCCATTCCATGAAAGAGGGCAGGAGTATGTCACTTTAGGGAGTGTGAGTAGGAGAGGCCCAGAGGAGAGGTGTGGGTGTTTTGCACAGAATGGAAGGCTTGGATGCAAAATAGTCAAAGAAAGAGAAACAAAAAATATTGGTCATTTTAAAGTTACATTTCTTGTAAATGTTAAGACAGAAGGAACTTCCTTATCATGCCAGCTAAAACTGACCTGTTTGGGAATTTATTTGGCTCATTCTCACTGTCCTGATTTCTCAGGAAGTCAGATAACCAACTTAATTTCAACTTGGTGACAAGGGACTTCAGCATGAGTGGCTCCATGTCGGTTTGGTGTGTTGGGCTTGGTGCAGGAGCTCAGTCCAACCTATGGCCTCCTGTGGATTTTGCTTGACCCTCCTTCCTGTGGAAAGAACAGCTTAGTGGATTTTAGAGACAAGTCATTTTAAAAGTATAATGGAATAACTTATCAGTTTTAATCATGATAAAAACAATGAAAGAAAAATACAGAACACCATAACTCTAAGAGAGTTATACATTAACGTAGGGAAATGACATTTAGTGAAGCCATGCCCTGAAGTAAGATGGAGTTTGCTAGGAAAAAAGAGGAGGCATAGAACATTCTAGGCAGTAGAAACAGCACTAAGGCCGAGTTGCCTGTCCTTTTTTTTTTTTTCTTTGTAAGAGTTGTTTTTATTTTTTATTTTTTTAGTTTTCATTTATTCACATGTGACCTATCCTTTCTTATTTCGGTTTACTGGGATGAACTGAAGCTCTAGAGTGAAATACATCTAACGCAGAATCCAGCCCTCAAATTCACTAGCCAAGGTATTGAGCACGTCTTGGTTTCTTAACTCAGAAATTCAACTGTGAAATTCAACTCAGACTCATGTAAAGATATGCTTTGGAGGGTAGGCATGGTGGTACATTACTGTAATCCCAGCTACTCAGGAAGCAGCGGTAAGAAGATCACAAGCAAGGCCAGCCCAGGCAAAATCATGAGACCTTATCTAAAAACAAACTAAAACCAAAAGGATTGGGGAGCATAGCTCAAGTGGTAGAGCGCTTGTCTAGCAAGCCTGAGGCCCTGAGCTGAATCCTTAGTGCTGCTAAATAAATAACTCAATAAATGTTTTGGGCACCCATAACTACCAAACTGAACCTCCGGGGCTAGGTGAGTGCCAGCAGGGTTGCCAGGATCCCAGGATCCATCCATTTTCTTGGCTTTGCTCTCCTCTGTGCTTTAAATCTGTCTGCATATGGCTGCTGGGAACGGCCAGCAGCCAGGACCACACACTTCCCCCTGCACACCCAGCAAGAGGTCACCACCTTTGCTCCCATCCTTTCTCAGCAGTAAGGTTTCTCCTGATGGTCCTCACAGGCCCGGGTCTGCCCATCCCTTATCCAGCCACAGTGAGAGAGGCTGGAGTTGCTGAGTAGCTTAGACGATGCTCCCTCAAGCATTTCAATTCCTCTGAAGAAACTGCATGTGTGAGGTCTCCACATGTCCACTACACCTCCACTGCCATGCTGAGTGAAGATTCAAATCCAACAACATAAAACATCTAGCAATAAGACCCGTAATAAATGGCAGTTATTATTAATTTCTCTCCAGGAATTTTTTTTTGTCCAAGTCAACTAAATAGCACTTTGTTGTTAATATTAATCTCAAGTATATCTTGTTCCAAAAAAGATTTAAGGCTGCTATTACTTGTTGACACTGCAAGGGCAGCCCCTACCCATCTTCTCCTCCCCTCTTGTTGCTACTGCCCTCGTCTCTTTCATTTCATTATTCATTCAACACACTTTCAGAGAGTTAGTATCAACTTTGTGCCAGGCCTTTTGCTAAAAAGAAGACATTCAAAATGGACAAGATGCAGACGAACAGTTCATTGCCAGATGTCAGCAACAGCCACCCAAATGATTATAGCGCAATGTGAAAGATACTATAATAGAGGGATGCAGAAACATTTAAGCACACAAGGGAGTAGAAGCTGAAAAGCTGGCTATTAGAGGTAGTTGGAAAGCTAGACAAAGATGGTAATCTTTGGGTTGGGTTTTGATGGATGAATAGAGGTTCACCTGACTTAATGCATAGTCATTACACCTTTTTCTATTCCAAGCTGTCTTCTACTGTGTTATGTCTCTTTCCATAGCAAGTGACAAGGTTAGGACTCCAGAGTAAGAACTCTGTCATAAGGAAAAAAGGAATATATTATCTTATGCTTCAGACATGATGGATTCAGACTCTGAAATGAGTTACCGAATTCAGTTTTTCTCTACTTGTTGGTTCTGCTTCCTTGATTGGAGGTCCTTTACCCACATGGTGACTCCTGGCATGTCCAGCCTTTATTACCTCCCAAGTTGACACATGTCCCAAAAAAATCATCCTATTGGCTTTGTGTGTGTGTGTGTGTGTG